GGCAGGCGTCTCCTGAGAGCTGGTGGGTGAGTAGGCAGGACAGTGGGACAGGCAGGGAGCGCCACAGAGCCAGGGAGGCACGTTAGCCGCGAAAAGGAGAGGCGGCTTGTGTGTGTGTGTTCGTGTTGTGTGTGTGAGCGTATGTGTCTATGTGAGTGTGCATGTGCACGTGCCCCCACGAGTGAGAGCACAGGAGCCCCTCCCTGAACCCAAACCTTACGCTCTTTTTGCAATTTGCATCTTTTTTTTCCCCCTGTCACTCTAACCGTGACAAAAATAAGATTGAGTTTGAGCATGTAGGGGGGCTATTCGTAAATGTGAGCGTGCATGACAGTTCTCACCAACCAGGAGTCTGTGTCATGTGTGTGTGTGTGTGTGTGTGTGTGTGTGTGTGTGTGTGTGAGAGAGAGAGAGAGAGAGAGAGAGAGAGTCCCAGAGCGAACACTTTTGGTGAGGGATGAATGAATGAATGAATGGGAGTTTATAGGACCTCCTTTGAATGTGGGTCTGAAAAATGTAGCATCCAGGATTCCTCGCCCTGGCCACGTAGCCCCCAGCCCTGGTGTCTGGGCCCAGAGCATTCCAGGGAATTCTGTACCTGAGGTTCTAGAAACTTCACAACTGGCCCCACATGGATCCCCTTTCTCGGAATAGGAGGCACACCTACTGGACCGGTTTCCAGGAGGGAATCCGGAGATCATGGGGAGTCTTCAGACCCTGTGAGCCCCCGTGGGGCTGGGGCCCAGGCTGGGTGGAGCAGCCGCACCTGCCTGAAGTTTCGAGGAAGAGGGAGGAAACGGTGGCGGCACCGCCCTCCCGAGGCTCTGCGGGCTCCTGCGGTCTGCTGGTCACAGTGGGTCCCGTGACTTCCTCACTTCCCTAAATAGGCAACTTCACTTTCAGAAGCCCAGGTTCTTTCCTGGCAGACCCAAGGGGTCCATCCTGCACCGGCCTGGGGCTCTGGCCTTGGATCCGGGGTGCCGGGCCCCCTGCCGCCTGGACTGTCCCCTGTCCCCAGCTGGATGGAGCCATGGCTCCCACACTGTTGCTGCTGCTGCTCCTCCTGTGGCCTCAGGGCTGCACCTCAGGTGAGAAGGTGGGGGGGTGGCTGGGGGAGGGAATGGCCTTTAGCTGGACCCTCCCACCTCATCTTTTCTTGCCCAATGACCTTGTTTAATATTTTGTGGAGTAGGAGGAGGGGGAGGAGGCTGGGCTAGCCTAAGCTGCTCCTTGCCAGAGACCAAGAGAAGGTTCCACCGTGACACCTGGCCCTGGGGAAGCTGCCCTAGGTCTCAGGGGGCTCTGGCCCCGCTCTGCAGGGCTCCCTCAGGACCTCTGACCAGGGACACTCAAGTTCCTCACACAGAAAGCCTCTGCCCTGGGCCTTGTCAAGAAAGCCCTGGTTGGTTGTTACGGGAATCATTGCATTCTGTGTGTGTGTGTGTGTGTGTGTGTGTTTTCTCAGCTGCTGATGCCATTGCCCCCTATCCTGAGGGAAAGCAATTCCTGAAGGCCGCTCCCACCCCACAGGCACTAATGTTCCTTAAGCGGGGGGCTCACCCAATCCTGCCTCCCTCACTGCCATGGCAACCAAGTTACCACTTCCTGCCCAGTTCTGGGCACGGTGGGGGTTGGCAAAACCCCCTCCTTATCCCCAGTGAGAGGGGTGGAAGGTGGACACAAATGAACCCAGTACCCCCAAGACCCTTTCCAAGGTCACTCCATCCACGCACCTCCCCCAGAGAAGCCTCCTCTCTGCCAAGGCAGAAAAGTGTCTCCTGTGCTGAGCCATCCTGGGGTCCCCCAAACCTCCCATCGGCCAAATCCTTGAGTTGGATCCTTGCGCCTAGTTTGTATGGGACAAAGTGATGCTCAGAGATGGTGCTGCCTTACCCCCAGCCTTAACTATAGCGGCAGCTGGGCTGGAAACTGAGGCACATGTCTTGGGCACCGGGTCCTTGGTTATCATAGCTCTGGAAAAGTCTGGAACAACCTGCATTTGGGAAAAAGAAGCATGCATTGAGCACTCACCGTATCCAAGGCACTGTCCTGAGGCATAGTTCTCATAGCCAACCTGATCTGCTCACGTGGTAGCATCAGAGCTTTAATCCATGTTTATTTAGGTTCCAAAATGTAACGTGTGTGTTTGTGCTTGTTTGCAGAAGGCTCTGGGGTGTTAAGGAGCAAGAGCTAAGCTTACGGCAGGCAGAGGGGTGGAGGGACCTCACCCCAACCCTCTCTCTCCTCTGTCCCCTGATTCACCACCCCGGGCCTAGTCCTACTCTCTCCCCACTGGACCGTGGATCATAAAGTGCACAGAGCACATCTCATTCCTAGACAAGAGTGCACCATACTGGAAATAAACAGTGGTTAACTAACTGTATAATTCTTTGGCTTGCACTCTGGTGGGAGTTTCTATGCACTTTTATTTGAGAGAAAGGAAGGGAGAGGGAGAGAGAGAGAGAAACATTGATGAGAGCGAAACATCGATCGGCTGCCTCCTACAGGCCCGCTACTGGGGATGGAGGCTGCAACCCTGGTATGTGCCCTGACCAGCAATTGCACCAGCGACCTTCCCGTACATGGGATGACATTCAACCAACTGAGCCACACCAGCCAGGGCTCTGCACTTTTGGACATCTTTAATCTATGGGTTTTATGTAGCTAGGATATTTTTAAAATGAAACATCACTTAGAATGAAACAAGACAACTTGCTATTTAAACGATGTCTATAGTGGACCTATTTGTAAAATAAATGACCAGTCTTAATGTTTTCAGAAATTAAGGTTGGAGCTTCTTTTCCACTGGAATCTCATAACTTCATGACTTGCGCTTGCGTCTGTGCCCCGGGTCTTTCCCATAAGACTCTGAGCGTGGGGCTTGTCATGTTCCCATCAGACTGGAAAATACCATGAAGAAGGGAGCTGTGTCTGATAGGGGCTCCCCGAGGGCAGGGCCTGCGTCCCCCCTCGGACTGGGAGAGCTCCTCAGAGAAGGGCTGTTTCTCCCTCGGACTGTGAGTCCCACATCAGCAGGGCGACGCCCCCTCCCCTCCCTTCACCGTGAGCTTCAGGTTTCACGCCGATGCCCCCTTCCCCACTCTTGCGGGACCTTGCTCAACACGCCCTGTCTCCCCAGGTGTCCCTGCTGAGAGCGTGTACTCCAAGGTGCAGCATTTTGAAGGGGAGACTCTGTCTGTGCAGTGCTCCTACAAGAGCCGCAAAAAACACGTGGAGGGCAAGGTTTGGTGCAAAATCAGGAAGAAGAAGTGCGAGCCTGGGTTCACCCGGATCTGGGCGCAGGGGCCGCGCTATCTGCTGCAGGACGACGCCCAGGCCAGGGTGGTCAACATCACCATGGTGGCCCTCAGGCGCCAGGACTCGGGCCGGTACTGGTGCATGCGCAACAGCTCCGGCACCCTCTACCCTCTGATGGGCTTCCAGCTGGAAGTGTCTCCAGGTGAGCAGGCCTGCTGGGCCCTGGGATGATGGGGCAGCCTCCCTGCACTGCACAAGCATCGGATGTACCAAGAATACCAATCCTTCCATGGGCATGCTGCACAGTAGGGCTCACACAGGTCTTTTACAGACATCTTCATGAACATCACTGTTACCATGTCATAGATGAAGGAAATGAGGTCGAAAGAGTCCTGTGTGCTTCTGACCTTGTCTAAGACAACAGAGCTAGCAAGTGGCAGAGATGAGATTCAAACTCAGTACTCTCTGTGCTTTGTTTTCTTCAGGCATCTGTTGAACATATACTCACTGAGCCCTGATTATGTGCCAGCCACTAACCTAGGCTCTGGGGATACAATGGTGAGCAAAACCAGACACAGTTCTGCCCTGTGGGAGATGACAGGCAATAGTACATCATCAGACAATAACTGCAGATAACAATACATGTTCTTAAGAAATAAAACAGTGCGATAAACCAGAAAGTAACTCGGTGGTGGGGGAGCTGCCAAAGCACTAGGGCTCAGAGAAGACCTCCTTGAGCAGAGCCCTAAATGATGAGAGATTTCTAATTCTGTTGAACTATGGGTACTTCAAAGGTCATTCTGGGAGAAAAATGCATGTGCAAAGGCCCTGAGGTGAGAAGGAGTGAAGGCTGTACAAGGCAGGCCTGGGTGGCTGGTCCATATTGAGTGTGGGGCAGAATGATAGGAGGTGAGGTTGGAGAGTCAAACAGAAACCCCAAAGTCCAGGATAAAGGAGCTGAGTTTTATGCTAAATGTAATAGAGAGCTATTGGTGAGCTTAGTGGGGCGTGTTGTGACTTATCTTTAAGACAGTAGTGGCTGTTGTGCAGAGGATGGACTGTGGAAGGGTAAAAGCAAGGCAGAGAAACCATTGTGGGAGTCCTGGCTGGAAATGACAGTGTCTTGGAGTAGGATGTGGTCCCTGGATATGGAAAAAAGAGGAGGGGCTCAAATTTCTGATGGTCAGACTCTTGCCCATCCTGTATGTTTTTTGAGGTAAGACAGGATTTGCTCACGTGGGAGGTGATCAAAGGCAAAAAATCAAGGATGACTCCAAGGGTCAATCTGAAAGGGGAGCTGGTTTAGAGGAGAAAGATGAAGCTCTATTTTGTCACGTTACCGTTAAGACACCCCCCAGAAGCTCACGCAGGGAAATGAGGCAGGCAGTCGATGCATCAGCCTGAAGCTCAGGTGAGAGGTCCGAGCTGGGGATATATTTGAAAGTATCTCTATAAAGGCCGTTTAAAGTGAAAGAGTCTGAAAAAAGTAGCCAATGACTATGAAAGTCATTATCCACCCTTCCCTGTTCCCCTAATCCAACCGTGTCCCCATCTCCTGTTGGGTCTGAACTAGGGCAGCTGCTGAGTCTACGATGTGGAGCCCAGTCTCATTCCTCCACTCTCTAGTTCTGATGTGGACCCAGGGAAGTAGCAGAAACCAGGCTACTGAAGTCTGAATTTGTAGGGATACACACATGAAGTGGTTTTATTTTTTCTTTTCGCATATCACCCCCCCCCCATTGTACTATGTCAAATCTCAGTTTGCACCTCTTAATGACAGCTTGAGGAGATTCCAACTTTGCATTTCTTTTCAGTCATTAGGAAATAAAAAATCCTCAGCCCAATTAAAAACTAGACTATTCTAGCAATATATGCTCTCTTCTGCTCCCCTTTGAAGACCAGGTTTCATGTCCCAAGGCGCCTGAAATGGGGAAGGGGGAGTAGCCTGCTGCCTAACTCTGCCTCCTTCATCCCTGGAGGTGGGGGAAGGGGTTCCCCTGAGCCCCCTTTTTCCTTGCCTTCTCCCTGCCAACTCCTTGGTGTACTGGGGCAGGAACGAAGGTTGTGTGACTTCACTGACCCTTGTTCTCTTTCTGTTGGATGTCACTCCTTTTCTGCCCAACCCCTGGAGATCCTCTATAAAGTGGGTGTCCAAATGCTGGCTCTCCCAGGGCACCTCTGTGTGAGTTCTTTGCAGGGTCTGCCCACTGCTGAGTAGGACAATGTGGGAGAGCCGGGTCCAAGTCAGCCCTTTCCTCTATGCCCACCCTCACCAATGACGCTTGCTCTGGGTTCCCTTGCCCAGAAAAAGGGCACCTTCCATGGTGACCACGTGGCCCTCAGGAATGCATCCTTGCCAAACACACTCGTGGGATGCAGCAGCCCCCTCGAACCCCCTGCCATCTCTCTCCCATTTTCTGTTCCCCGCAGAGAAAGACCCAACACTGCCCCCTAGATCGGACCTCAGCACTACAACTCCCTTCTCCCCCAATATCCAAACGCCAACCTTCTTCTAGAAAATGGGATGGTAACGAGCTGGGCTGATAGATGCGGGCACTATGATTGGCTTCATCTCTTAGAAAGCCGCCAAAGACGGAGTCTGACTCCCGCCCCTTGGGGTGTTCTTTGGAATCTAGGCCTTTGAGGCTTTCTTGCCCTCATCTTTGGACCCCAGTCATCAAATAAGGAAGGACCCTTCCAACACCACAGGAGAGGAATCTCTGGCCCACAGAGGAGGGCCAGAGAGATGGGGTGGGGAAGGGAGAGTCCTCTGGGCCCAGGAGGCCTGGCAGGGGAGCCTAAAGCAACTGTGAAAGTCTCTCCCTTCTTTATTGTGTCTACTTCCTGACATCACCCCCTGAGCAAACACACACCTGGGCACGCGGCAGAGCAGATCCCAGGTCCAAGGTCAGAGGGGAGCGAGGACAGGCCCCAGCCCGGCATCCAGACAGTCATGCCGGCTGCCAGGATCTGCTGCCAGCACCCAGGCCCCTAACTCAGTCTAACGTTCCTCCCTCTCTGGTCCTTCAGTCCCCACAGCCGAGAGAAACACTCCTCTTACACAGCTGGCCAACATCCTCAAGAGCGGAATTGTCATCACAACGGGCCGAGACCCCACCTCAGGCCCTGGTGCCCCTTTCCCCAGCAGTGTGAGGATGTTCACACCTGGAGTCCTCACCTTGGCCAGACTCTTGCCCTCCACTGCCTCAGGGACCATCAGGTTGAGCTCCATGACAGGCTACAGCTTCACCAGCCCCTCCACCCCTGGGCCCAGAGGGACCGAGAGGCTCCAGACTGTGACCGCGACTCCCAGCCATGCCCGAGCCTCCTCGGCTGGCCCTGCATCCATCTCCACCAAGGCCGGGCAGTTGGGCACCGGATCGCCCACCACGAGGCTGTGCCACACCAACAGGTCGCTCCTCAACAAATTATCCCCCATCAGGTACCCGTGGGCTCCGGGGTTGAGTGACACTTTACCAGACATGGCAACAGTTCTGGGTGCCTGAACAGACCTCAAGGTGCAAATGTTACAGCAGACCTTCCCCTCCCCCTCCCCTTTCTGAAATTGTCTGGCTTGTTGCTGAATGGGAGGTGGGGGCCTGGACACGGGTGGAGAAGTGACATAAAGGATGGCAGTGGGGAATGAAAGCGGGGGAGGGGTCTGTGGCTGCAGAGGGTGGGGACAGGACAAGGAGGTGGCTCGGAGAGAGGAAAATGGGGGGTGTGTTAATTTGGGTTCCCCAGAAGCAGACTCTGAGCCCAGGATCAGTGGCATTGGGAACACGGGGAGAGTGTGGGGAAGTGACACGGAGGGGAAGGCGGCAGACAGGAGCTTACGCGGTCTGCCGCTGCCGGGAACTCTGGGCACAGTGTCACGCGGCCACCCGAAGGGCCAGGGAGCTGGCGTAGTTACATGCCCACTCCTGTTGTTCATCCGTAGAAGGCTGCCTGCCATGTGTGGCATGGAGGGCACCGGTGACAACAGAAAGTCCTCAGGCCAAAAAAAAAGTAAATGGAGGTATTGCCAATGGGTGCACGTGGAGGTGACAGAGGCAAGGAATGCAGGCTGGTAAGAGCCACCCTCTGTCACTAGGACAAGAGTAAGAATCCTGGTCCCTTAGGGTCCTTGTCCTCAAGGGTGAGCAGATTTGGGGGAATGGGTGCTGCAGCGGAGAGATGCTCCCCTCCACCTGGGGACGGGGTCGTCCTCTCCTGAGCTCCGAGTGCCCAGCAGCTGGGTCCCCAGGGAGAGAGGCCGTCACTCCCTGCGGGCCGCCGGGGTTTCCCCTCTCTGGTTCCTCTGGTGTGGTGTGCTGTGTGATGGATGGACAGACAGAAGGACGTGGCTCAGTGGGGGAGCCTGGTGCTCACCCCCTGTCCCCTCCTGTCTCCTTAGGCGCCAGGATTCGAACCTCACTATGCTGGCTGGCGTGCTGACCTTCCTCTCGGTGCCTGTGATGATGATGGCGGGCTATGGGTTCTGGAAGAAGAGACACCGGGGAAGTGAGTAGAGCCCCTCCTCCCAGCTTCCCCAGGGCAGAGCACGGGGCCTCCAGGCGGTGTGTCACGGGAGGACTGTGAGCACCCAGGTGAGGGCGGAGGGTGGGAGGTGGGGACAGTGCAGCGTTACCCTCCAGGCCAACCTGGCAAGAGGTGGGGGGCAGGGCCAGGAGAGGGGCTGGACCAGGCCAGGAGCATGAGGGATGGTGAACAGGAGCCCACCCTTCTTCATCTCTCTCCCTGGTCCTCACAGGCTACAGCATGTGCAGGGACCCTTCTCGACCCTGGAGGGACCCACCTGGAAGACCAAAGCCTCCTTGGAAGCCTACTTGGTTTAAGGCCACTTATGCAGTGGGGGAGCTTTTCGCAGAGACCCCAAGAGGTCATACGAGAAGTGAAGATGGGGACCTGTCTGGATTGGAGCCAGGTTGGGGGGTGAGGACTTGTGCATGCTGGGCTCAGGCCTCCCCTAACCAGAGGCTGTACCGCACCCGCCCAGTCCCCTGGGCCTCCAGGAACCTGGGGAGGGGCCCAGAGCCGAGGACACCACGCAGGAAGTCCCGGGAAGCCCCGGAGGGAATTCTGCTCAGAGCCACAGGCCTGGGGCCCCAGCTGCATGGTGTTTACAGACAGAGCCTCAGCTCCCACCACCCTGGGGACCCCTACCACCAAGCTGAGGGGAGCGGGGGCGGGGTGGACAGCTGCGTCTCCACACCAGGACCCTGTGTCCTCAGCTTCCTTCTGCTCCCCTCAAGCTTCCCCATGGATTTGGGGAATAAAGAGTCCCAGAAGCAGCCAGTGTCCCAGTGGCCCTCCCTGGGGGAGGAGGAGGAACAGTGATTAAGAGTTGGGGGTCCACAGAGGCATTGGCAGCAGGGGACCCCAAAGCTGTCCAAGAGCCTCCCCCCCATGTCCTCTGACTGACCTCTGACGTGCCCTGCCCTCAAGTCCTGAGAGCATTGCAGAGCCAACCCTCTCATCGCTGCCACCTGCTGGCCAGCGCCTCTGGCACAGCTGTGATGGGCAGCTGAGAACCCCCCTAGCAGCAGGACCAGCCTGACCCCAGACTGGGGTGCAAAGGCTGAACTCAGGGCTGTCACCCCCAGTTCTCACACCTGGACTCTAGGTCTGAGCTCTTGGAGGGGACTGTGGGCCTTCCGAGTCCACTGAAGGGGAGACCACAGCTCAGAGAAAGGGGGGATCGCCACACCACCCCCCACCCACATCCCCAGGGTCTCCTTTTCCCCTGGGAAGCGAGGAGCCACTGTGACACAGCCAAGACAACTCAGAGCCCACCACAGCCCGGAGGACTGCCTGGTAAGGGTGGGGCAGGGAGGATGGAGCCAGGAGCCTGGCCCAGTGGTCTGAGACGTCTGCCCTACCAGACAGGCTCCTGGCTCAGACTTGGCCTCTTCTGCAGGGAAAGCTGAAGAATACGGGCAGCATTTGTCCCTTGAAGAGGGCTGTCCACCAGACTGGAGTGAATGGAGAAAGCACCTGGGTGTAGATGTGGCATCTCTACTCTTGCAGGGACCTCCTGGGTGGGGGGGCAAATGTCATAGTCAGGAGACTGACACAGCCAGAGCCTCAGTTGGGGCCACTCCAAGATGGATATGGGGAGAGAAGAGGAGGGGTGGGTAATCCTATGGGACCATGGGGAGGAGGCACCTCTTTCCTGTGCCCAGGAGAGGGCACCAGAGGGGAGATTCAGCTTGAGGAACTGGCTGGCCTGGTGCTGGGACACACACACACACACACACACACACACACACTCTGACAGCTGTCCTCCCTATCAGGAAGGTGTGGCCACTGCCTGGTATGTAACTTGGAGGGCATTTAACTCACCTGGGGGAAAACAGGTCCCCAAGAGTTCACCTCCAGGGAGACCCTGCAACGGCCTGACTGCCTTTCCTCCTNACTCACCTCCAAGGAGACCCTGCAACGGCCTGACTGCCTTTCCTCCTTGGAGAGCAGGCTGCCCCGTGGGGGTGGGAGAGCGCTGAAGAGGGCTCAGGACCAGGACCCAGGGGGCCCAGGGTTGCCACTTGTTTCTGTGTGACCCTGTGCAAGTCACTAACCCTAGAGGGCCTCATTTTTCCTCTCCTGTGAAAGGGGACACAAATTCCTACCTCAAGACTTGTCAGAATAAAATGAAAGAACGTGAGCTTTCTACAACTGAGTAAGTGCGTCGCGATTGCTGGTCCTCAGGTTCTTTTCAAGTTATATCATGTGTCATATTCTACGTTTTAAAGACCTCTGGAACTCATTTCTTTGTTTTGTCCTTGACTGTAAGGGGAGAGGGAGGGTGGAGGGGGACATGGTCCCCAGGTGAAGGGTGCTAGATGCAGGCAGAGGCCTGGGCTCTGCCCTAGGGTCAGGCAGGGTAGCTGTCAGGATGACCACCGTCCCTGTTTGCCCAGGATAAGGGGCTCCCAGGACCGGCGGACCTGCACCCGCTGCCCATCCATGGAGCCTGCTCCCGCAAGAACCCCATGGTAAGGAAGGGCACGGAGTACCGAGAGGAGGTGCAGACCCTGTGCCCTGGCTCCCCAGCTGCTACGGACCTACATGCCTCTGGGTCATTTTCCCCTGAACCCCAGCACCTCACTTTCTTCTTTTTCTTCTCGNCCAGGCCTCTGGGACATTTTCCCCTGAACCCCAGCACCTCACTTTCTTCTTTTTCTTCTCGCCTTTGTCCCCAGAGCTCCAGGGGGACCCAGGTCCCAGCAGATCCAGGGCAGGGAGGTGCAGGGCAGGGGAGCTTTCAGGCAGGTCCAGGCTGTGACCGCCTTAGGCGGGTGAGACAACCTAGCTTCCTGAGCCACAGGCAGAGACCCTGCCCCACCTGGGAAGGTGTCCTGTAGTGACCAGCGGCAAGAACAGACAAGGAAGACCCAGCACCCTGGGATGTTCGGGATGTTTGAACCGAGGAGCTGGCAGGCGGGCCTGACACCTTCCACTGGGAGGCCGTTCTTCCAAGTGGCTGCACACGGTGGTTTTTGCTCCCAATCAAACTGAGCCGGTGGGTGTTCAGCAGCCCAGCCCCTCCTGCAGGGCTGATGGCCTTCTCACCCCAGTGCCAGGAGCAGTGAGGGCGGAAGGCCTCCTCCCGGGGCAGACCCCTCCCAGGGCAGCCCACTGCCCCGACCATGATGCAGGTGACTAAGGACCGGGCACTGCCACCACCTTGGTGGGAACCAAAGGGCAACCTGTCTTCAGAGGTGCCTCAGAGGCTGGGGCCGGAGCTTCCTGTTGGCCGAGGGCTGCTTCCTACCCTTGTCTCCCCAGCCGGGTCCCCAGCCTTCACCCCTGTGCTAATCTCCGCCTCGCCTCCGGAGTCCGTCCCTGCCAACCCCAGTGGCCACACTGCGCGTTTACGGGGCTCTCTCTCCTTTGCTGTTCATCTCTCAACTATAAGCAGCCGTGACAACAGTTTTCCTGTAGCTCATCTAATGACAAATATTTTTCTTTTTTCTTTTAATTTTTATTTTTCAATTACAGTTCACATTCGGTATTATTTTGTGTTGGTTCCAGGTGCAAGCACAGTGGTTAGACAATCGTATGCTTTATACAGTGCACCGCCCGACATTTCCAGTGCTCCCCTGGCACCATACACAGTTATTACAATATTATTGACTAGCTTTCCTATTAGTCATGGGGATGTAAAGTACAAATTATTTTTAAAATGTGCTTGATTAGTGTGGTCTTTCAACAAATGCTTAAGGAGTGATGATAGTGGCAAGCTGGGAACTGGGGACATAGGGGGCAGAGACTCCCTTTTTCCTCCCCCTTCTCCTTCCCTCCCCACCCCTGAGGCCTGCTTTGCTCTCCTACCCTTGTCAGGGACTTTCCTGTACCTCCATTCCTGGAAATGACTCCCCCTCTCCTTCTCCTGTCCCCCTCCAGTCCCTGCAGGACTCCTCAATTCCCAGCAGGCCTGGGCAGGAGGCCCCTGACCAATGGGACCTCCAGAGGTCCCCCACCTCTGTCCCTCACCTTCAGCTCCTGCTTTTCTTGGCTGGGGAAGAGAGAGCTGAGGCTGGGAGGGAAGTGGGACAGAGGAGAGACAGAGGGAGGAGAAATGGGTTTTCATTTCACCACAGTTTCTTCCTGGGCTCTCACATGTTTCCCCACCCATGTGGGAGGGACGCAGCTGGACAGGATTGGACACAAGGGAGCCCCAATCCAGGCCAGATACGCACGGCAGGGGGAGGGTCCTGCCTATAGGCCAAGGCCTCCCCCTCCTCCCAGGCGCCCAGTTCCCCACCAGGGGCCTTTGCCTTCCTCGTGGCTGGCTAAGTCCCTCCCAGCTCTGGCTCCCTCTCCTCAGGGCGTCCTTGCTGCCACCCCAGCTCAAGAAGAGGACCATGGCCCGGGGGACCACCCACCTGCTGCCACTTGTCCTGCTGGCACTCCTGACCTCAGGTGAGGAGCAGAGGGAACTGGGCAAGAGGAGGAAGGATGACTAGTGAGGTGGGCATGAAGGGGCTGTGCGGACGGAAGGGGCCAGAGGCGGGAGGGGGGCACATTGAGTGTAGACACAAAGAGAGGATTCCTGAGGAGGTCCCGGCCCCCAGCTCTGCAGGGCAGCTGGGGGCTCCCTGACCTGAGGGTTTGTTCTCAGGCTCCTGGGCGCAGCAGCAACAGTTGTGGACCCTAGAGGGTGAGACTGTCTCCGTGAGATGCCCTTACCCATCCCAGGAAGGGTTGAAGGTGAAAGTGTGGTGCAGAAAAACACCAGCAAACACTTGTATCATATTAGCCACCCACTCGGGGCTCAGCACAGTGCCTAGGAACCCTCAGCTCCTCATCACGGATAACCCCGAGTTGGGCTACTTCACCGTCACCATGGCTGCGCTCCGAATGAGGGACTCGGGGACCTACTGGTGTGCAATCTATGAACATCCCATGGTGACTGTTCTCAAAACCATCTCTCTGGTGGTATCTCAGGGTGAGTTCTTTCCTCCTTGTGTGCTTCTCAGATTCCCTGAATCACAAGATGCTGGTGCTGGAAAGGACCCTAAGTCACTTCCTCAGTCCTCCCATAGCTGACCTTGCCCGAGGTCACCAACCAGTTAATGGCAGAACCAGCACCAGAGCTCAGGCTGCCAGCTTCCAGTCAGTCCTTCCTTCCCCAGCAGGACACTTCTCTGAACCCTTGTTATTCATA